AAAAAAAAAAAAAAAAAAAAAAAAAAAAAAAACAACCACAAAATAAAACAAATTAAAAAAAAAATTGTTTAATTTAATTATCATTATTTTTTACTTTGACCAGAGGGAGAGGGAAAGTGAGAAGGCAAGCTGTCAGGCCCAGGACGCAAACCATGGTTAGCCATGTGGGAGTCCAGCACCTTAACCACCATGCCACCTGCTGGCACCCCCAAAAAGAAATTAGAAAAAAAATTTTTGAAAGGGCCACCCCTCGTCCTCCTTGACTTCAGGTCACCTCCTATGGCACACCCCCATAGCCCGTGCACGTCCCTTCCTAGCAGATCGGGCGGTAATTAAACACCTATTTCCGTTGTTTCCTGAGGACGCCTGTCTCAGTCACTGCCCTCTCAGCCTAGCGGAGGGTCTGCCGAACACAGAGTAGGTGGTCAGTAAATATTTCTTAAAGCACGGACCGAAGGGAAGCCACGCCTTCACGTGTATCAGAACAGCTAATACAAACCCTGTCACCTGCCCTCGGTCCGGTGGGAACGTGGGGGTGCTGCAGCTATGGGAAACTGCAGTGGCGCCTCAGAGTATTAAATCTAGAGCTACCACGTGACCCAGCAGGTGCCCGAAGAGGTGAAACTGGGCTCTCAAAGACCATTTGTACACCCACGTTCGGAACGCATTGTCCACAATGGCGAAGACAGGAAAGTGACCTGCGGGTGCAGATGCAGACCAACGCGTAAGCCACAAGTGGTGTGTCCACGCACCGGACTGAAAAAGAAGTTCCGACAGTGGCTACGACATGGACGAAGCTGCAGACATTGTTAAGTGAACTCAGTCCGTCCCACAAAGACACGCACAGTGTGGCCTGCTCCTGTGAAGCACACATAGTCAGATGCACAGAGGAAGCAGATCTGGTGCTTGCCGGGCTGGGGGAAGGAGAACGGGGAGCTTAACACCGAGGGGTGCCGAGTTCTGGCTGTCCAGGACGGAGGGAGTTCCGGAGCTGGTGGTGGTGGCTGGGCAGCTTCTAACCCGACTGAGCTGCACAGGAAAAATGGCTATGATGGAAACATTTATGTGAAGTGTACTTTAACACACTCTTCTTAAATTGGAAAAAAGAATTTTTGAAAGAATTATTTTATTTAACTTTAGTATTTGTTTGTTTAATTTGACTAGAGAGGGGCAGAGTGAGAGGGGGAGAGAGAGAAAAAGCAAGAAAGCAAGCCACCAGGTCCAGGACTCGAATCACATTCGACCATATGGGAGTCCAGCGCCCTTAACCACCACACCACCTGCTGGCCCCAAACTGGAAAAAAATGAAGCCAAGGGCTGGATCCATTTTATCAGTCTGCTCTGGAGCCACTGAAACCCCTCGACTGGATTACTGACCAGCAAATAACCCCTCCACTTCCACTCTGCCCTGGGGACGCATCTACTACCCTGTCCCTTTGATGCGGGGCTGGCCGTGTCATTGCTCGGGCCGGTGGCCTGTCAATAGCTATGACATTGGCAGTGGCCTAGAGCAGTGCTTACACAGTCGGTCTCACAAGAAGGCAGCATTCCGCCATTTTCCGATGAAGAGTTTCTTGCAGGCAGAATGACAAGCATGCAGACTCCCCCGCCTGCAGCCTTGAACCAGGCCCGTCCAATCTGTACCTCAAAGGTGAGCGGTTGGGCCAAACCCAGCCAAGATCAGCCTATTAAACAGTCAACCCACAGACCAACCAGATCAGGAAATAGGTGCTTATTGTCTTAAGTCACTGAGAAGCTGGGAGTGATATTTTTTTCCTTTTTCTTTTGGAGAGGCTCTTGCTATAGGGCGCGTGCGCTTGCCAGAAAGACAGAGAGAGACAGAGAGACAGAAAGCGAGAAATCACCCCCCAGGAGGGATGGTCACGCCGCAATCCCCTCTCCCCCTGGGAACCTGGGCATGCACGCACACGTGCCCGGTGTGACTTAAAGCCACTGGGTCCAGGACCCGAACCATGGTCAACCACATGGGAGTCCAGCGACATAGCCATCACGCTAACTGCTGATCCCAGTGATTTTTGTTATCCAACGTTATTATAGCAACACCTGACTACTAAACTAAATAACCATTAAACCCCATCGGGCCTGGCCCCAAGTGCCCTGGTGGCTGCATGACTGCCAGGTTGGATGGGACATACCTGCCCAGTCCCCCACTTTGCTCCACTGCTTAAAATGAAGAGTAAATTGGGGGGCCAGCAGGTAGTTGGGGCGCTGGACTCCCACATAGCCAACCATGGTTTGAATCCTGGATCTGGCAGCTTGCTTTCTTTCTCTCATCAAATTGAAGAATAATAAATCAGTAAAATTAAGTAAGTCTTTTTAAAAAGAAAATGAAGAATAAGTTACAGGCCATGGAGACCCGGCGTGGAACTCCCCGCATGTGCCCTTTTATTCCTCTGGCTCTTGGTGACATCTACAACATAGGGTTTGGATTAGGACTTTGAGACCCCCTCCCAAGGCTAGGACTCTGTGGTCTGCCCCCACCCCCCGGCCGCCCCTTCTTACTTGAACGTGGTCCA